TACTTTATTTTTGAGGGATTAGTCCTAACTTCAATAGCTGTAATCAAGCAGCCCCATCTGCCGGCATGTATTTTGGTATTTCTCAGTGTCCTCAAGTTTTGGTGAGAGACCGTCACACATAGTAACGTACTGAAGAGCTTCGTGAATACAGGGAGAACCACAGAGACTCCCCTTTGGGTAAATGTCCAGACCTCTTAGTGGAGTCTAGGTAGAGATAAAAACACAGAACAAAAATCCAACTGTTTTCCAAAGAACACAAATAATTTACAATCTTGTTTATCCACGATCAATAAGGACTTCTAAACATCTACTAAAAATGATCAGCTCACATGCATTGAATGCATACTCTGTGCCACTCCTAACAAGCATTTTATAGGCATCATCTCATGGATCTAACAAATGCAATACATATTTATTTGAAACCAACAGCAAATCGGGCAGGTGCTAGATTCTTGCCCTTCTCTGGGAGATCGCAGAATACGAAGGGCTCTTGGCTTGCTGTGTCCTCCTTCTGAAACGAATACAATTTGAAATCTGTAGGCAGATCTATCTTCTTAGAATAGAGTGGAATTTTTTAATGAGAAAGACAGCATACAAATTAAGGCTGTATTTTCACTATTATTTTAATACTCACATAATTAGCCTGTGTTTACAGCATGCCTGATGTGGCCCATCCATGAGAAAACAGGGTTAGATACTTAGAGTACTTAGGACTCCTTTGTCCTGAGCTTGGCTGGAAGGTATGGGCAACCATTTGACTTTGTTTTCTTATCTGTAGGAAAGAAAAGAATCTATATCCGTTTGACGGAAATATCTGTCCCCAGAATGAATGGATCTAATCTTGCTGGTGAGAGTGGAGTGAATTGCTTACCTTCTTCCTAGAGATCCATCAGCCTTTCATTCAGCAGGGCACTAATTAGAATACTTTTATGAGTAATTTGCTTAAAGAGACCTGGGAAACTAGAAACAATGCAAGTTCAGCAGGTACATGAACTCTTTTCTCATGCGAATGAACGAACCAAATATGAAGGAGGGTCTAAGACTTACGAGAGCATCCTGGCAGGATCAACATGAATCGAAAAACAAGATTCTAAGATGTGAGCACAAAACGATGTAACTGCTCAAAAACCAGTTCATGTCTTAAAAAAAAGTACAGAAACAAGAAGTCTAAACACTCTTTTAGGCATTCACTATTTATAGTGCTGCCTCTAGAAATGTAAGGTTTGATTAAAGAGGGACGATAACCTCCAAGCACACATTGTGAGCTTGGTTCATTTAAACAATTACAAGCACAACCTCTCTGCAGTCTTTTTTAGTTTGTAAACAGCAAAAAGAACTGAACATCTAATTTTTGAAATTCTTCTGGCTTTTCTTTTTGACCTTTGGTATTTGTATGTATTGACGATCTCTAAACCATTGTACAAAAACACCTTGAAGTGTCAAGCTTTAAAAATGAGTCTTCTTTTCTCTTTCTCCTGTGCAGCTTGGATTATCTTGGCCTTGTCAAAATACATTCTCTAGTTAGAGGTTGGAAATATTTCCCTCCTGGCTCCAAAGTATTGATTTTCTTCAACACTCAGCTCTGTCAGTCAGCTGATGGGGTGAAAGGTGAAAGTTCACCCAGCACTGCTTGGCTTTACCCTCCTATTAATGTCATGCCCTTTCCACATTTGATCAGTTTATGTGATCACCAATCATATAGGACTGGTACTGCCCCTATTCTCTCTATAAGGACACACTGAAGTCACCAGGAGACATTAAAGCAATTCCCGGGATGGACACCAGGCATCTGAATAGAGCCAAAGATGTGGCAGGCAGTTCCTTTAATATTTGTTTTCTGAAAGAAAACTACACTGTTACATGACGACTGGTTCAATTTAAGCTGTTCTATATTCTTATGTGAAAATTAAAGATGCACATTCACAACTTATACATATAACCCTCTATGAGCAACAATGACCTATTTTGTTAGTCTTGCTTTTCCTGAAACCAATTACAGCCATTACCTCAGGGATTCAAATTCAACTCCAAACTGAGTCTTAAATGAAATGAGTTTTATGATCTCCGTCCAGCACCCCCAACTCCGGGGCCAACCCATGTCATGAGATCTGACAAGATAGAATTCCGTACAACGGAAGTCAATTTAGGAGCAACTTAGGGTGGAGATAAAGCACCATGCATGCAATTCCCTTGCCCAAACCACAGAGGGCGCTGTTGAGTTTCTGGTAGGAGTTGTTTCTCTTGCACTTTGGAAACGTCTTCCTGCTCTACTGTCCTTTGTGACAAGTTTGCCTTTCCTGAAGCTAGCTCTCCAGGGAAATGAATAATTATACAGAAATAGAAGGCTTAATTTGGTACCAAAGAAGGTGGGAAGAGGGCGGGCAGGGGGGGAGAAAGCATATGGATTTCAACTGAGAATGTTTAAGAAGAGTGAACAATGTTTTTAATGAGAAAAACAATCTTCAGTACAATTCAGTTTTATTTAACACACATACGTACACAGGGACATTCAGCACATATAGAATCTATTCAGTGGAAATGTCTTGAGAGGCAGACATTTTAATTCACTCGCTGTGCACAGTGAGTTCAATTGTTACATTTTCATACAGGTGTCACGTCATGTCATCTTTTGCTTGTAAATTACCAATGAAGCCATATATGTCTCTACATTTACAAGGATAGGTCCAAATACAGTGCCAACAAAATCAATAAAACACTAAAAGCATACACTGGGATGACAATACAAAGTTTGCCTCAGTGCTGAGAAATCTAAGCAGTGATGAAGTCTGGGACTGTAGTTATCAAAACAGCCAAGAGGAGATTTGTGTTAACAAGAATGCAAATACTCATTTAGCAGTTAGAGACGTCTAACCATCAGATATCATCCACTCGACGTTTAATATTCTACTGGCCGATAATCAGACAGACTGTGGGACAGGCTGGCCTCTGCCCACTGCCCAGACGTTTTGCCCCCGGGCCCCATGGCTTTGTTCCGGGCCCCGGGGTGTGTCCCACTGCGAGTCCGAGGCGGCCTGCCTATTGTCTCACATCTGTGTTTTAAACTCTCTAAAGGTATACTTTTGCTTCATCATTCCAAAACAACTTTGTAGTCTAGAATAAGTTAATCCCTATTTAAGTTCATAAAGTAAACATGTGCTGGGTATGGAGAAGACTTGGGAGCCCACTGAAAAAAACAAGCGCAACTTTTGTTTACCTCAGGTTTTTCTACCTATAATCGAACACAACAGCATGTGCACCAAACAAATAAATCTACACTGGATAGTTCTTTGTTTCTTCCTTGGAAACTACATATATAATCTTTATAAATACAATGTACATGCATGTGGCATAAATTCACTTTTAAAAGAACACCCAAAGTCTAAAACCAAGCAACAGTACAGGTTTGTCATCAATGCAAATAACACACTTCATATCAATAGGAAAGAGACGTTCTAGTGGATCTTAATTTCTTAACATGTTCTTTAAAAATCTGTTTCAGTAAAATGACAGATGGATTTGTTCCTGGACTGTGATCCTATTTTTTCTGTATATTACATAAACTCTAACAATCTACGCTTTTCCAATTAAATGCTCCCATTATCATTTTGGTTCCTCTGGAAATTTCCTACCTTCTCTGAATTTAATAAATCATTTTCTGTTTTAGCATTTAATAAACCATTGTGTCTAGCCAACCAATCAACAACTAACCAAACAACCAAATGCCCAACTATGTACAGATCAAGATTTGTTAGGAGCAATTCACACAAAATATTATTTTATGGATTTTTTTTCCCATTACTATGAGCAAGAACCAGCATAATTTGACATAAAGAGAAGAAAGCGACCTAGTTAAAGCTTACTTTGAAGTGTGATGGACACCCTCATTGCAATGTTTGCTCAAATAACTTGAGAGCCCTCACATTTTATATATTCTCCTGAATGCTTGTGCCATATAGGTACTAATTTTCTAGGACACTTGTGTAAAAGAAATGTTGTCTTTGTTTTCCTTTAACTGATCAGTTTGAAGGCTGAACTGTAACTATTCCATGATAACTGACATAGGTCGTACACGTGGGAACTGTAGGTCTGTAAGGTTTCTGGAAGGAAGGGGTAAGGTCTTTCTTAAAAGGACCTGTAGCAACAGACGTAAGAGTCTTCTTATTTAGTATATGCTATGCTTCCAAACTCAGTTCTTTATTATAAAAGTCCATTTAAGAGATTAGAGTGACTGGATAATTATATTAACTGGATCATAAATAGTGATGATTTTTTGTTTTAAACTACTAAATAGACTATGAAGCAGGATATGAGCATTTTAGAAGGCTAGGTGCCTGGGAAACTCTATTTTCCGTGAGGAGGAACAATTTTTTGGTGTATTTTCTCATTAATCTCCAATCTGTTAGGTATTAATAAAGAAGTAGTGGCTAAACCCTAGGAAATTGGAGTGAGCAGTTTCCTAGCAGTCATGGGGGGGAAAAACCAACCATGTAAACACAGAATCTTTTTGGTAAACAAGAATATATTTTAGGCGATCTAAAGGAAAATAACTTCGCTAATTAGGACAGCCACATTACCTCAAAACCCAACGTCAAAACCACCAGGTTCAAGCGGGAGCTCAGAGGCGGGGTTGCTGACCCGGGCTGGGAACGCAATCACAGTGTTTAGTGAACTGGAGGCTTCTGGTGCACCAAGCGACAGGAGGGATCCTGGGGCCCGCAGACATCCCCCACCCCCAGCCCCGGCGGGGGAAAACGACCGAGTGCTGACAGAAGGGCCACATCCTGCCGGGCGGTGTGTGCACGCCTCTGAATCACAGGCGACACAAGTGGGCATCTGCCCCCAAGAGCCATGCAGGAGTGACCCGGCCTCGGCCGCGCCCCTGGGGGGCACTGGTGCGGGCAGGCACTAAGGAAGGATCCGTGTGAGGAAGGACAGAGAACTCTCAGCTGGGAGAACGGACGGACGGAACTCGGAGGTGGCCAGGGAAGCAGGCGCCAGCGTTAGACCATGAAGCGGTGCTCCTTCCCGTCGTGGGCCATGAGGATGACGTTGCGGTTGGAAGTCCAGATGAGCCGGGCCAGTCGCAGGGCGTTGTGGGAGCCGGGCGAGGCGGGCTGCACGGGGGGCACCTGGTAGGTCTTAATGCAGCGCAGCTGAGGTGCCGAGTTCAGCATGCCGATGCTCCCCAGCAGCGAGGTGTTCATCTGGGGAGACACAGGGACACGAGAACACGTGTCACTTAAGGAACCCTCTCCTGGTCACTCTCTCTGCCACAGCGCTGATTCGCGTTCAGCTGAGCATCTGTCCTTAGCCCCAACAGCGCGCCTCTCAGTGTGTCTGAAACCGCTCTGGTGCCGCTACAGCAAGTGCATAAATCCAGGGAAATCTGACTTCGTGGGTAGGACCTGACAGCAGGAGTGGCCATCAATCTTTAAGAAGGGGGCTAAATTATGGATGTTAACAAAGCAGCTCAGTCAGACAATCTTTGGCAATTGTGGGTACTTCACACAGCCGACCTTTCTGCTCCTTCCCGTCAGGACTCCCTGCACCCCCTCAAGGACGAGTCAACCAACACAGTTTTGGGGACTTCCAGATCATTCAAGGAAACAAAGCAAACTGGCATCCGTCCCCGGATCCAAGCGCAGGCCGTGACCCTGTCCCCCATGTGCATGTACCCACACCTTCCCTCCTCACCCGCTTTGTACAGAATTCAGTCTCTGGAAAGCTCCAGTTCATTCTGAGGGGGAAACCCGGAGTCAACTGCATCTCAACACCGTATCTGTGGCTTGCTTTTTGCTGCCACGCTGAAGGGAGGACACCTTAACACTTCAATGGCAATATGTTTTTATCAGTTGATTTCTGCTTTTTGGTGGCTTTTCAGGATTTGATTTGAATTTTAAGTTCTCTTAATCCATTCACAGTAGTGAAAAAGAACACAGAAATTATGGCTCATGAACAACTATGTGTTCGGTCCAAGTGCTAAATACTGAAAGGCAGTTACCCCAGTGAACTGTTAACTGAGCAATGGGGTCTGAAGAAGCCTGTGGATTCTAAATATTACTTAACAGTTTCTCAATATACCTTTTTTTGTGCTATTGCAAATCAAATGGAAAGCATACTGAAAATCAGAAAAGAGGTCTCAGAAATAGTATTTTTCTTTGCACTAATTTTCATTTCCAGTTCTTCTCTTCAGTATAACCCCCGTCTAAATGCATACGATTCTAGGGTCTTGTATAAAGCATGCAGATTATGGTTCAATGTATACAAATGGTTGACACATGAAACCTTGGCAAATCCTGGGACATGTACACTGGGTTATTGCTGATATCATGCTCTGCATTTGGATCAGTGCAAAATATAAGCCATTCTTTTCTCTGGCCCTTCTCGGCAGCACGATGGTGTCAGAGGGCGTAAATCATGGCATCTCTAGCAGGATGCGTGCAGGCTCCACTGACATTTTCACAATTTAAATCATCTTGAGTAATAACCCTTTTAAGATGACTAATGTTACTGATTTTCCTGCATTAATAATAGTGCCGAACACAACACAGAGGTGAAAAAAAATCACTAGTGTACGAGGTCACATTTTAAAACCAAATGTATGGTTATCATTAACTCTTTCTATTAAAGTTAACATTTAAAACTAGACAGTACCTTACTGTCTGTCATCCTCCAAAAACTTCTTTCCTTCCTTCCTTCCCCCCACCTTTTCCAAAAACTCCATAACAGACAAAAATCAATGTCTTGTTGCTTTCGGAAGGTTCCCAAATAGTTTAAATATAAATAATGGTGGTGAGCTTAATTTGATAGTCCTCATTTGTACAAAAAAGTAACAGTACATAATAATTTAGTCCTCTAACAGAACAGATCCAAATGATCCAGAAAATTGGTGGTTAACATTAACTGGCATCAACAGGCATACTATGCTTTAATAATAATTAATAAAAAAAAATCTCATTTCTCAGTTGATAAACAACTACAAACTATTTTTCATTCTTTATGGATTTTCTATGAAAATATGTATGAAGCTTGAGTTCTGCTGGTGACTCCAAATGCTAAGGGTATCCAACATGCTCGGCCACTTCCTTATTTTTAATTCTTTCCTGCAAAATCCAGCCGCATACCAGAAACGTGTTGAGGGCCAAAGGGCGACAGGGAGAGGATACCTTATTGGAATGCTACAGATGGAAAAACGTCAACAAGAAGTCCATCATTCCATCTGGGTTCTCCTTATAAGCTGAGCCAGCCCATGAGTGACTGATATATCATTTGATAAACTGATTGACAAATGCCTTCGGAAGGGTCACACAGCCTTCCCGCCTCAGAATGGGGCTAGTGAAGTTCTATGTGGGATGGCAGTGTTACACATGCACACGGCTGGGATGAGGAAGACCCTGAGGTTACCGAGAATGTGTTGATCCTCAGAGCATGCTCTCCCTATGACCTCTTCAGAGTGGAGACGATCTGAAGTAGTAAAGGTGAGTATCCCTTTTTCCAAAAAGCTCAGCCAAACAACGCTCACTGCAGCCACGAACCATGCTGTTATCCGATATTAATGTGTTCTTGACCAGTGACCATCTTACAAACTACATGAAAGGGCAATCTGAGCCTCGAATGAATAAAAACTACCCGGAGTTAGAGTATTTGGTAACCTTCAAGTTTTTCTTGATTACAAAGATACTAAACACTCATTGTGGAACATTTGAATAATAAAGAGAAGTATAAAAGAGAAAGCAAAAGTCCCCGAAATCTTACTTCCCAAAGACAATCACTAACATTTTGGCAAACTTCTTTCCAGACCTACAGTTACGTGTACATATAAGGAGAAGCGGGTTTCAGGAGTTTTATGTAAAATGGGCTCATATTAGGCAGTTAGTTTCACAATCTGCCTCTTTCATTCAAAAAAATGTTGAGAACCATCTTTTCATGTTAATGGCCACAGATTTACAGTATCCTTTTTAAAGGCTGAAGAGGATTCTATTTTACGGTGGAATATATCACCATAAGTGAAACCAATATCCATCTAATTTACTTTGGGCATTTCTGAGAGAGGATACTCCCTAGTTGGAGGGTAGTGGTGAAATTTAGGTGAGGGAATCACAGTTGTACTTGATTTCGTTACTCAACTCCCCTCGTTCAAATACCAACGGAGACCCTGATGTGAAATATTCAACTTATAGGAATATGTTGTCAGAGGATCAAAGGGTTTGGAAGATTGCCTGATGACATCATTCCACAGCTGAGTTTGTAAATAACTAGAGGGCAACTTTGGTTTTTCCCTTCCCTTTAAAAATAATGCTTCACAAAACCAGTTCTGTGAAGATTATTTTCTGAACACATAGAAGCACATACAGATGTAATTCATCAAAACAGAAAGTGTTTTAATGCAATTTTCAGTGTAAGTAATGCTGCACACAAACCTTTTACTAAGTCTCACTTGAGTAATTATCCAACCAATATTTCTCATTAACACTCATTTCTCAGCAAAGATTTTAATAGCTCATAGCTTTTGTAAGGTCCTGTATTAATAAGACTTCATTAAGTTTTCAAAATATATTACAGTACATTTACTGGAATAATACAAAAGTATTATCATACATCATTAGAACTAAACAATATGTATCTAAATAAATCAGCAAAACCCCTTTTGGGAGAGGAGCAGGAGATCCAACAATGCTTTCTTGACTCTCTTTAATTCAAATCAACCCCCCTTCTACCTCCGGAAGAGGTTTTATTCTATTTTCTTGATAAAGCTGAACTGTTTCTGTGCCTTTGGCTTAAGTTTCAAGACCCAGTGGGGTATAATTTAAGAAATGGGCTGCCTTTTACATCCTGACATTGGGTTTGGAGGCGAAGACTTGGGTGTTGCCTGAGCCGCCCCGGGGCTCGGTGCACTGCACCCGCACCTGCGGCCAGCCCGAGGCGGCCCCGGGAGTGGAGGAGCGCACGCCAAGGAAGCGCGCTATGGTTCCACCATGCGCATGGCCGCATGTACAGTCGCGCAGGTTCAAGTGTGCTTGGCAAAGCCCAGTGGCAGCAGCACAAAGCTGAAGAGGGGAACTGGAGGAGAAGTATCTCGAAAAGCTACCATCTATCTAACGAATGATCCCGAGCTCTAAGGTGAGAAAGGATGCTAACCCTAATCCCCTCAATGTGCTTGGCAGGAACTTTGATAAAAATAGAAAAAAAATTCAAGGAAAAGATGATCATATCCAAACAGAACCCTGAACACCTAGATAATGGGAAAAAGGTTTACCATATAGAAAATCAGGAAAATATTGGAAACAGTTTCAAATCTGGCTAAGTTAGGAGGTATTCCTTTATAAAACAAATTTTTTTTTTCTGAGAAAAGTTGGACAAAACCAAAAAGATTTGTTTTTGTTTATTCCACAAAGAAAGCATGGACCAACCCAAGCTCCTCGAAAGTGGGAACTTATGGCTTGTTGACTCCGTATCCCTAAAGGAGAGGCCGGCACCCGGCACTTCAATGCCATTGAATAAATGTGGAGCTTTATATAAACACTCCTCTGGGATTCCAACAGAGTGGGAAATAGCAGAAAATTTGTATCAAAGCACAGTTGGTATAAAGAGACCACTGTATAGAAAAACAGTTGGTGGGGGAACCCTTTAAAGAAGCACTGTTGCGAGGGTCCACTTTACGGATGCCTAACAGGCTGGTGGCGCGGACAGCCGCAATGCAAACCACAGGCCCTGCAGTGGACCACTGGGAGAAATGGGGACCGGGGAGCTCTCCAAGGAAAAGAGTTTAATATGAGCCAATTAAGATGCTGGAGATATACTTTGGGAGAAAAGATAATGAGAAAATAAACTGGAAAACTAAATTAGATGAAGAGCAGGAAAAGTCTTGTGACAGATTTGGAAGTTGTCATGCTTTAATAGCATGTTGTTAATTAAGCAATTTATTGTATCTGTTTTACATTTTATTAGGTATTGATTTTTTTTTAAAACCATCAAGTTGTGCTGAAGTCTTATTTAAACTTTCATTTTTTTTTTTTAAGCTTCCAAGGCAATAAACTGAATCTCATAAAACATACTTGCATCCTAGGAAAGTAAAGGTAACAACCAAACTTTATATTGGCTTTTCATGAAGGAGGGAGTTGATAATGTTTAATTTTTTTATAACTATCAGGAGGAAGATAATTAAAAAGATGGGACGGAGATTAATCACTGAGGACAAAAGAAATTCTATTGTAAAAATTAGGTGCTCTAAGTTAATATGCATTTTAATCAGAATTAAATATAGACATCCTCATAAACTGCCACTCAGTGATACTCAGGTTTTTGAAAATGTCTGGGTAGTTTGGGAATGAAGAGCCCTATGTGGGAAAGTGAGAATGCAAAGAGAAATTAGGTAACATAAGCAGGATATGGAGGTAATCCCCGGCTGCCCTTCCCCGTACCCTCTGCCCCGCTGGAGCTGTCCGCATCCTTGTGCAGGGCCTGCCGGGCCCCGTGCCTTTCTGGCCAGGCCCTCAGGCACGCTGTGCCCTTGCTTACCACCGAAAGGCTCTCCCTTTCTCTCAATCTGCCCTACCCTTACCCTCTGGCCCTTCCTCACCCTTGTCGTGTCTCAGTTCAGATGTCACTTCCTCTGTGAGTTGGTCCCACAACCTTATTCTCAGGCTCCCCTCTGTATTATAATTGCTTCTTTACATATGTCTCCCTCAGACCTCAAGCTCTGTGAGAGCAGACCCCACTCCCTCCAGATGGCTAACTGTATTCTCAGCGCACCCCGCATGCTAGCATGTGGCACAGAATCAGTCAGCAATAAATACTTGATGTTTGTTGAAAAAGGAGGGGAGGGTAGGAGGAAGGGCTGGTGGGCAGGCCTAACAGGAAGCCTCTCTCAGCAAAAGCGAATCATGCATTATACACCAAGACCCTGTGGCATCTACACTTACCTGCCAGAAAGAAATGTGGCTGTCTGTATTTGAGTAGGTGGCAAGATATCGTCCATCAGGGGCAAAGGCCACTGCAGTGACTGGTCCCTTGTGTCCATGGATTGTCTGAAATAAAATGCAGTCATTAATGGTCTGCAGTCCACAGAACTATTGCACATACACATGCAAATGCATTCAATGTTGAACAAGTTATGTCACGGAGATTAGATACTGTTATGTTCTTGATTTATAAAATCAGATTAGAAAAATAGGGAAAGCAACCAAAGTTCTCTCGCTGATATATCCAAGGGCTTTATTTAATCTTGTTCTGAAGGATCTACCTGTATCTGAGTTGGGAGAAGAGCATGAATCCAAAGGAAAAGCGTATATTAATGGGTGAACCAATGTGTTAATTCATTTATGTCCATTAGAGGGAAGAATTTTATAATTAATTAGGAAGGTAAGCAAGTGATCACCAAATCTATGTAGGAACCTCACTCATCTGAAATGAAAAATAATCAAAGCTGTTATCATAACATCCCTGTTCTGGAAGGAGTTAAAAACTATAATTTCAACCCTTAGTAATTATACATTTTTCATGTTTTATGCTTCATTTCCCACCAATAACACTGTGTTTAAATGCACATGGCTGCAATTAGTAAACATACACACACCTGGTGGAGGTTTGAGCACATATATAAATCAAGTACTATTAAAAACAAGTTAACAGGGATAATTTTGAGCCTCTGCCAAATAGCTATCATTGATTTAACCATGAATTGAAAAAAGGGAGTTGTATTTTTGACGAGGTCTATGATAAAAGGTCTTTACTAATATAAAATTACACTCGTTTCATGATATTAAGTTATCAAAAATACTGGCATACTAAAGCAAATTAGCATAATATTATATTAGAGTCCTTTCAGTCAATGACTAAAGAGCATACCTCCACCACATTAACCAATATTCACTCTGCTTACAAGCTGTGGGTTGGTCTTCTCCCTTTGTCTGAAAGCAATGGAGAATTATGTTCTCTTAAACTAAGACAATACCAGGAAGGTTTATTTCCATCTGCTATTTTTTGATGAACAATTGTGAACCCTGAGTCCTGGTGGGCACATCAGGCTCATTAGGTGACTCAGCCACATACATATTGTAAATTTCAGTAAGAATAGTCTCCTAATTTATAGCTGAGTGATTAAAATGAGGTAGCGAGGGAGGAGAGAGGGATGGGGATACAGCTTGTTCCTTAGTTGCTCTTTGGATTTTGTTCTTTTCTGTCATTAGACTTTCAGGGCACTGTCGGATCCAAAATAATGCCTGTTTTTTCACACTTGGAGAAAACATGTTCTACTGGTAAAACACTGGGCTTCGGGCTGGCAGAGAGCACTGCTCTGAGTCAGGCAGCCTGGCTTGCGTTTGGGCTCTACTGCTTGCTGAAGGACCTAGGGCAAAGGGTGGAAGTTACTTAACCTCAGAGTACCCATGGCTAGAAAGGAGGAATGATGATGATTGATGATGATGATGATGATGATGATGATGATGATGATATCTGCCTCAAAGAGCTCTGTGAAGATTAAATGAGTTACTAGATATGTAGCACTCTGCACAGTGATGGCACAGAATAAGAATCCAATAAGCAATATTAATGTTTGTATGTACTTCCCCTCACGTAAAGATGACCAGACATATAGATTTGAAAGTTGTTAGGAGAGTAGATCTTAAATGTTCTCAGCAACAAAAAAAGAAATGTAATTATGTGACAAGATGGAAGTGTTATTAGCTAATGCTGTGGTGATAATCATTTTTCAATATATAAGTTTATCAAACCATCACACGTACACCGTAAACATATGTTATATGTCAATTGTATCTCAATAAAACTGGGAAAAAAGATTAGACAAATGTAAACAATCACAAAACTTGATTACTTGAGTATACAATTTAATGAAAAGGAAATGCCCTAATCATATATCCCAGCATCAGTGTCAGCGAGCATACGAGGTAGTCCAGAAACAGATTTCATTTCATTAAACAGATATGGTAACTATCCATGGTGCTAGGCCACTAATGTGGTGCTAAATTAAGCAACAGGGTGAGCATGCATGCTGAATAATTATTCTGCCATCTACACTAAAATGAAAATTATTGTGGATGAGGGTAAAGAACTTAACCAATTAAAAGGGAAAAACTGACAATTCCCACTTACTAGGGCAATTTAATGAGCTCACTGGAAAACATCTTTAATTGTTTTTTAAAATCAAGATTTAGTTCTGCTAAAAATCTGAAAGCTTATGGGGCCAATTTAAAGCTATGTTATTTAAGACAGTTGATTAGTAAGGCCTTGCTTTAAAACAGAGATTGCAAACTGAAGACTCTTAAGCTGAAACCAGACTGTAGATGTGTTTGGTTTGGCCTGAAAGATGTTTCAAAAAATGTTTTCTGGTCATCATGTAAAATCAAGATTCCTAGCCTCTCCTGAAAGACCGGAAGCTCTGGCAATCCTGGGTCTTTGTTTACATGTGGCTACAACAGCCAGGGATGAGGTGAGGCAGCCCCTTCAGCCTGAACACTTGCCCTCCACTTCCCCTGTTCCATCCCCCACACACAAGAGGGCCTGCACAGCTAAGACCCACTGCCTGGCTCCCTTATTTCCTGCCTGGTCTCTCCTGGCATTTAATGCAACCCTTCCATTAAGAATACCTGATTCAAAATATTTTCTTCTGCAAGAAATAAAAAGTGTTGGCGAGGATGTGGAGAAAAAGGAACCCTCACTACAGCGTTGGTGGGAATGCAACTGGTATAGCCACTGTGGAAAACAGAATGGAGGCTCCTCAAAAAATTAAGAATAGAAATATCATATGATCCAATAATTCCACCACTGGGCACTTACCCAAAGAAAATGAAAATACTAATTCAAGAAGCTATATGCACCCCTCTGTTTACTGTAGCTTTATTTACAATAGCCAAGATATAGAAGCAACCTAAGTCCATCAATAAATGAATGGATAAGGAGGATGTGGTGCATACACGTGTGCACGCACACACAAATATTACGCAGCCATAAAAAAAGATGAAAACATGCCATTTGTGACAACATGGACAGACCTAGAGGGCATTGTGCTAAGTGAATTAAGTTAGACTAAAAAAGACAAATACCATATGATTTCACTTATATGTGGAATCTCAAAAAAAAAAAAAAAAAAAGCAGAATCAGACCTATAAACACAGAGAACAAACTGATGGTTGCCAGAAGAGGGGGGATGGACAAAATGGGTGAAAGGGATTGGGACATCCAGGCTTCCAGTTATGGAATGATTATGTCATGGGAATAGAACGCACAGCATCAGGAGTGCAGTCAACGATAGCGTAATAGTGTTGTGTGCGGGCAGGTGGGGACTCACTGTGTGAGCACAGCATAATGTTTACACTTGTCAAATCACTAGGTTGTACGCCTGAAACTAATGTAACATTGTGTATCAACTATACTAAAAAAAATCCAAAAAAACCAAAATAGTTTCTTCCATGTTCTGGGGTCCTAGTATGCATTTAAAGTGTGAGTAGACTAAAAGCTCCTCTGAGAAAAGTGGGCCCTTCCTGCAAGCCCCCCAAAGCCCAACTTTGTGTAGAAGTGGATGAGCCCCCTTCTGGAGTTTGGGCCCCTAAATCTCGCAAACAGAATGCTAAACCTGCCCTCCTTCATATTAGCATCCCTCCTTCGTCAGCAACCAGGATGTGCTCCTGACAATAAGAATGCAATGGTGAGTTGGCCATCAACCAGCAGGTCCAAAGGATGTACCAACCCAATGGTCACATGAATGTAACTCTCCCTGAGGCTAAGTCAGCCCTGTTGTAAAGGCAGAAAGCCAGACACACTGGCTCCTTCAGAAAAGTCTTCACGAACTCTTTTCTTATTACATGTTCATCTTTTACAGAGGGCCGGTATTTAAAACATCCACTTGAAGATTACTTCTGTGTCAGCTGAGGACACCCTTCCTTATGCTATCCAGTGTCTCTAAGAGAAGATCCTGTGAATTAGATTAGATGTCAGCTTGGACTTCTCTGCCAGTAACATGTTTACCTTTTCCAATAAATGTTGCTGCTTTCCTTGTATCATGTAACAATAATTACATAATCTTAACATGTGCTTGCATACTGAACTGCATTTGCTAGTTTCTTTAAAGTCTGTTTTGGGCAAAGGGGCACTACACCTAAGATCAGAACACACACGCAGATACTGCTAGGCGCCCTACAGGGTATCTTAACCTGGCCCAGAGAAAACCCTGGAACTCAGACTACAGTGTCAGCTCAGAGACCTGTTGTCTTATAAGAAAGCAAGTACCACTCATGGTAGCTCAGGGAAGCTCACTGTTTTCAATGGTTTGCTACATCTGGTGAGTTCATTGCAATCTCAGCCTAAGAGGTGCTTCAGAATGCAGTGTAATGGAAATGTGGCCATTGTCTTTTGTTCCGAATCTCTGCACTTCTCGGAACCGTGCAGGCACCACCTGAACTGACTTTAACCTCGCTTCCGGCATCAGAGATGCAGCTGTGCAGGGATCATGCAAACCTGTTAAGTGCTCTGGATGGGGCAAACCCATCTTAAATGCTGAACACTAAAGAATATTTCCCAGAACAACAGGTTTCAAAATAAAAGGAGGTGGGGTCTACATTTATATGCGAGTGAGTATCATGTCTTATTTTTCATCAAAGTAATTGCTGCAAGACAGAAATGGAATATAAAGAAATTAATCTAATTCAAGAAGTGCTATGAACAATAAAAGAAATCAAGCAGTTACCCCTAGCAGGAGACAGTGTGGAACTATTAAACACCCCCTCCGGTGTTTCTTACCAAAGAAAAGGAACTGGGAGGCAGGATTAGTAATGAGCAATCCTGCAACTTGCCAACCAATTTTAACAGGCACTTTCCATGCACTCTGCAAAGAAACGTAACTAACCCTCCTGTATAGAGAAGGAGAGGAGAGGCACAGATTTCAAAAACGATATGGTCAGTGCCAACAGAAGCTATGACCGTCTAGGATATTTTCTTTACAACTGTTCTTTACATGGTCTGTCTCTTCCTGGATTTCTTGATATTCAGCTTCCAAAGGACAAGTTTGAGAACT